AAGTTGATTCATAAGTGTAAGGTATTTGACGTAGGTAGGTGGAACATGTAGAGAATTGATCACGCTCTAAAAAACGTAGGAAGCGTCAAAGCGGTGACGAGGAAATTTGTGATAGGCAAAAACCAGATGTATGCACTAAAGGACAACAAAGGCAACTTTCAATATAAATAGAATAGTTAAAATAGCAGAGGAGGTTTACAGAGATCTGTACAACCGCCGCGACAGCCATGACCATAATTTAGGAAGTAGCAGTAACCCAGATGATATCCCTCCAGTAATGACTGAAGAAGTCAAAAAGCCTAGAGGGGAATGCAGAAAGGCGAAGCTTCTGGTGAGAATGGGGTAACATCAGATCTGCTCAAAAACGAAAGACAGATTGTCTTAGGAAAACTTGCCACCGTGTTTTACGAAGTGTCTATTGACGGACAGGATACCGGAATCTTGGAAGAATGCTAACATCATCTTACTGAGAAAGGAGATGGCAAGTACTTCAAGAATTACAAACCGGTCAGCTTGCTCTCCATCTTTTAAAACTATGTACTATTTACGAAGGTAAGTGTTAACTCAATTAAGACAACATTAGAAAACAATCAATCAAAGTAACAGGCAGGATCTCGAACAGGCTACTCCACAATCGACCACATTCTTACTATCAAGTAGGTAATGGAAAAATGGTAAGTATACAGCAAACCACTATACATTGCCTTCATGTATTACGATAAGACATTTCATTCAGTAGAAATATCGGCAGTCATGAAGACACTGCGAAAACAGGGCGTCGATATAGCATATTGTGGAAGAAATCTAGAGGATAAACTGCCAACATAGTGCTCCATGAAGAAAGCGACAGAATACCAACAAGAAGGATATGTTCTGTGTACCGTGTGCTTACAGGAGTTTTTCAGAGGCCTAGAGCGGCAAAGGTTAGGAATTAGAGTTAATGAAGAGTACCTCAGTGTAATAAAGTATTTGTGGCGCAATTGATACCGACAACGAAAATAAGCAGACAGGACAGGCCGCCAGACTTTCAATTCGTTTATTTTCCTCACATCACCCAATTATATATGCTTCCAGAATGCGCAGAAGAGGGGGCGCCGCACAAGCGACTATCACATTGCACGCACGAAAACCCCAACAGAAGAAAGCTATCGCACAGCGCTATCTATGAACAGGTATTCTTTCTTGTACAAAGCGATCGACGGGACACAAACGCATTTGTTTCCCTTACTTTGTATGTGATATGCCTCCAGTGCTTGACGTGATAATCTTTCCCTGCTTCGTCCTAACGCAAGTGCTTCTCAGGAAAGCGGCGTGCAGCCACATGAAGCACAATGTGATGGAAGGTGTGAGCCCACGCCATTCTTAATTGATAATAAATACTTCCTAAGGCGATCATTAACACAGCGTCCTGTTTGGTCCATATACACCTTGCCACAGCTCAACGGAATTTCAAAAATGACGCCAACTATGAAACGCAGAACCATCTTTTTTTGCCAGTATCAGCGTTGTGCCACAAATATTTTAATAAGCTAAGCATCCACTGACCCATTGTCACACTCTGCTGAAGTATCTCAGTAACCGGCGCTTCACGGACGACATTGCATTTCTCAGTAACTCGGCGGACGCATTGCAACCTATAATTACTGAATTAGAAATGGAGAGCAGATAGGTAGGCCTGGAAAATAATCTGCAGAAAACGAAAGAGTGTAAGACAACCTCGGAAGAGAACAGCGCTTCCAGATAGGTAGCAGGGCAATTGAAGTTATAAAACAGTATGTTTACTTAGGAAAAGTATTACCGTGGAGCCAAACCACGAGCTCGAAGCAACTAGTATAATAAGAATAGGCTGGAGCCCAATCGGCAAGCATTTTCAAATAAAGACTTGTAGATTAGCACCGTCCCTCAAGAGGAAGGTATATAACAGCTGCATCTTCCCGGAACTTACCTACGAAGCACAAACCTGGAGGCTTACAAGGAGGGTTCAGCGTAAATTGAAGACGATGCTGTGAGCTATGGAAAGAAAAATGGTAGGTGTAACATTAAAAGACAAGAAGAGACCAGAGTGGATCAAAGAACAAACCGGGGTTACGTATATCTTAGTTGAAATCAAGAATAAGAAATGGAAAACGGCCGGGCATGTAGCGCGTAGGCAGGATAACCGCTGGTCATTAAGGATAACTGACTGGAGTCCCAGAGAAGGCTAGCAAGTTAGGGCGAGACAGAAAGTTAGGTGGGCAGATGAGATTGGGAAGTTTGCGGGTATAACGTGCCTGCAGCAAGCACAGGACCGAGTTGACGTGATGATCATAGGCGAGAATATTTATATATATATATATATATATATATATATATATATATATATATATATATATATATATTGTAGGTGTGTGTGTGTGTCCTCAATACATTCACCTGCATGACATACTGGCTCGGTACTGCAGCTGCACCATACGCGGTTGCGAAGACGCGATCTCAAAGAGCGTTTGCATTCTCTATGCCAGTGAAAGCGTTCAGAATTAGGGGCGCGAACTTGGGAAGAGCCGCACTATGGCGAGTTGTGATCCATCGCGGTGCGCGCCATCCAGCGGCTGCACCCGGCGGCCGTGTTGAACGCTAGAAGTAATGCTCCCAGAGGCGTGGCCAGCTCGCGTTAAGCTGCTGGCCGAAGCGAGATGAACGCCTACCTAGACATTCGGCAAATATTGGCGCTTTCGAAGCTATCACTCTTGCTGCCTCCTTGGGGCCACTCAGCAGGGGGGAAAGAAGATGCGTGCCTCCAGCGGTCCTCAATCCTGGCGCCCCCGCTGCTCCGGTGCTCGATGCCCTCTTTGGCAGCTGGCCTCCTTTGGCCGAGTCCGTGGGGTGCCTACGCTCTCACCCGCCGTTTTTCGAGGCCGGCTATATACTCCGGAGGAGACGTCTTCCAGCCAGGCTATTTGTATTCGATTAAGGGCCACATCGGCGGCCCCCTCCTACCTGCAGCGTTTCCCATTTGATTTAGTGAGTAACAAAACTTGGGCTTCCACCTCTTCGCGCCGTGCGATGGACCCCCCTTCTCTTTTCACTGCGTTGTTAAGTGTGTTTGTGATCGGGCGTGTGAAGGCAATCTACATATCAACCACTTAGCGGGAGTCAGTGTGCGACACGTGGCGTGATCGGAAAGGTAAAGAGGGAGCAAGAGAGACACGTAGCGATTCCGCGCCCGGAAGACGCGTGTGCCGTGGGGCGCTAAAGGGGCGAGAACCGGTGATGGATGTCGCAGCGCGCTTTTGTTTCTCGCCAGTCGCGTTTGTAAGGGCTCTCGCTTTTACTAGTCGCTCCAATATTTCACTGAATACGAGTGCGGGAAGGAAATATGGCAGCCAGTGCGTGCGGGAATAAACGGCGGCGTCTTGCACAGTTCTGCGCCTTGGGTATTTCTGGTGATTCTAAGCGCACTTGGTCGACGGTCATAGGAGCTTATGAAACGCAATGCCAGATGAACGACTACCAGGAAATGGCAGCAGCTCATCGCTAATTATGTATGGACGCTAACATGTGTGTTCCTTGTTGTCGTTCCTTGATATCGAGAAGCCTGCATAGTGCGTTCCATCCAGGTGCATTTGCACTGTTAACAGTAGATTGCTTGACCTCTACCAGTTTCCGAGGCCATGACTAGACTGAATACTGGTTGGTCAACATCAGTGGAGGATGAGTGATGATGCACGCCCCTCTAAGTAGCTGTAATTTTTGATTATTCATCGCATTGAACGTTGTTTCAAAACATTAGTGAGGCTAGGGAAAATGCCGCAGTTGTCTCGTTGTCATCTGTGCTTCAGGTGCACTTAGTGCCATACTTAGTTTTCAGTTATATTATTTTCAGTTATAATATATTCAGTTATGAGCCCAAACCTTATATGACAGGACAGAAGAGCAAACAATACACATTCGCTTGTGCAGTATTTCTTCCTGTCCTATACCGTCGTATGTTCTGCAGTTAACTCGGAATAATTTTGACCATTGGAGTTTGCAGCTACGACCAAAAGGAGCGTTTTCCGTTGCTCAATTATAAATTATCGAAACCGTGACTTCCTGCGTTAGAATGCCACAGAGCACCCCGGCGTGTAATCAAGAGGCGCTGTTCATTGTCATCGTTATTACCGCCTCTCAGAATAGTGCAGGTGTCTATTACAGTGTCAAGAACATGCAGTGTGAATTAGATGAAAGCACTCCTAGAAATATATCAAGGGTGTATGTTCCGAGGGTGTAATGAAAATTATAGAGCTTCAGCCACCAAGGCGTGCACCATTGACCTGAACCAACACCCTGCCACAGAAGTTATCCTAGATTTTCTTATGTTTTATTTTTATCACAGTCAAAGTGACACCCGGCCTGAACATGGGTAATTGTGGAGTATAGGGTGGCTATTATTATTTTCGCCCAGTCCACGCACCAGAACTTGAAGAACAAACATAACAGCTGCGCCCAGGCTCGCTTTGCACATCGTTCAAGAGGTGAGGGCGCTGTTCACGGATACCCATGGTGGCACTCTATAAGGGGTCACGGGGCACCATCCTGAAAACAACTCTTAAATAGAATCATCAGTGCCGAATTGAAAATGAACGAAAAGAAAGAAATTTGGGGGGGGGGGGGTCTGATGTTGGAAGATATTGATAGAACTGCTGATCAAGGCGAACAGAGAAAATAATAGCCGTCATTTCTGTAGCAACACTTAGAAAAAGTTTTTGCGTATAAATCGTTCTCACAGTACGCTACGTGTCTTTAAAGAACAGGCAGCTGCAGAAAGACTTGTTCTTGGGCTTGTTGGTGCTACATAACGTATAGAAGCGGACAGCGCGAAAGACAGGACGAAACACTTGAGAAGCTTGCTCGGACAGCGTGGACTCTCAACTGAAGTTTCTTGCATACGACATGTGTACAAGAAAAATTATTACGAGCAAAAGAGAGGGAAGGCAAAACAAGAAGTATCTATATATGTCTGCTGCCTCTGCGTTACTTACAGAATTCAAATGCTTTTTCCCCCTAGGTGTTCGTAGGTTGGGCTGATACAGTGCTCTCTATATGTGTTGCGATGATACGTCTCTGGGATAAGATTTTTGTTGGTCTTACTGCGCCTCTTGGTCACTTCCGTCTAGTTAAACAGTTCCTTGCACTGATCCTGTGTGCAATGAGAAAGCAAGTTTCATAATCGGTCATCCTTTTCGCATTTTTTTCCTTTGTAGTGCTTCCGAAATCTAACATCTACACACCTAGCAGCCTGATCAATACAACTATTGTCGCATGCAAGACAAATATCGTAGACTACTTTCTTGGCACAAAGAATGCAGGTGCCTCTGTGTTTCACACCACATTAGCCTTTCTTTTTTGTGTGTTGCATTTGGCCCTGCGTTTAACACACGCGCAAATGCTGCTCGAAATCCAGAAAAACAACCTTCACAGCACTTGTGAATGCGGCTTGTTATGCTCCATCTTGTGAACTAGGGCAGTGGGAAGATGCGGTGTTTCTTACCTTTCTTACGGTCTTCGCTTTGACACCATTGTTTGACACACGTCAACACCTTTTTTTTGATATAGTGACCACATAATCTAGAAACCCTGCCTTTTGCAACCTCTGGATTTTAACATGAACACTGCATCATGTGTACATGAGACCATGGTTTGGGCTTGGCCACCGGTACTAAAGTGGCGGCCAGTCTATCTTTAATACCATAGAGATGAGCTGATGTGTAAGGCCAAAGAGACTTTTAAGACCTGATTGCATACTCCGAGCACACCTGCTGCGAATAAAATGTTAACCTTAGGTCTAAAAATTAAGTAATAACTGAAGGTTTTAATCCGGTGGCAGGGCTGGTTAGAAGTTAAATCCACTTCCACTCTGTTCAAATATTTCAAGAATATCTCTCATTCTTTTGTTGACACTGTTCCCTCATTGAAAAGTAAGCAATCTTCTGCGTACCGGATTACTTTCACCTCAAACTAATTAATCTGTGCGGAATGATCCAGTCGACATTACTTAAGAAAATATTGCTTTGTACAGTTTAACGCGACAGCCGAAGCAAATACCAGTTTTTAAGAAAAAATCCAAATGTTAATATCTGAAATTTTACGTTTCAAAATTAAGATAAAATTATGAGAGACATCGTAGTGGAGGGTTTCGCAAATTTTAATTATATGGGGTCGTATTCAAAAAGCTCTCTCTTGGCTGCACATTTTTAGCAAAGAATTTTGTTATGTCAATGAGGTACAATACCAATGACACGAATTTACCTTACTCGTCTTTTTTGAGGACAAGGAGAACACACAAAAGCCAATGCGATTACAAGGAAAGAAAAACGTTTGTGCCGATGATAGCGAGGTAGCCCTCAAAGCATCTAGCATCGAGAGTATGCGATGATAGGCAATGATTTGTTGCATCTCAGTTTCCAGTTCCGCGGGCGTCTGCTACAGAGCTTATGTGCTGTTGCATTGTAATAGACGTCCGCGTATCCCGCTCAAAACCAAGCGCTCGTGTTTCATCAATTACCGTAGCTAAAAAATAATTGCTTCATGGCTTCAAGAAATATTACATGCGCTCTCCCGCCAAGTACCAATGAACAACACTCCAGATGTATATCAATGAAACAGCGCAAAAAATGCATGCTTGCTATGTTTGAAGATGAACGCCAAATGTCTTCCCATGTTTACCGCTACTAGTTAACTTACATTTTATTGAAGCTGCACTACTGCTCAACTAATCTGGCATAATCGAGCGCGGTATAGTGGTTGCCGCAAGCGTGTTTGGTAGCAAGATGCAAAAGGCTGCCTTTTTTACAGCAATCTTATTACGAGACACAGCAGTGGCTTTTGTGGCTGCAGGGAGTTTCTGCAGAAATATAGAACAGCAGTAATGGAATGGTATCGTGAGTTCATTGTTGCAGGTTTCATGCACAGCACCATTTTTAAAAAGCTGGAATATGAGAACGTGCACACACTTACGTTTAGATACGCGACCACGTAAAATGAGAGATTCATGGCAAGGTGTTTCAGTGCTAAGGTTTTCCAGAAAATTAGTCTCAGTTATTTCGTCCTGAGGTGTTTGCGTGAGCAAACATAAAATATGGCACGTTCACTTGTGCACTGACTTTACCACACGCGCAAAACGAAAGGGGTAAAAAAAAAGAAACAGAGACGGCTTTCGCGCGACTGTCATTTTGTCTTCGTGAAAGTCTGTAATCGATGCGATGTAAAAGATGTTAAAGGCGATCTTCTGCTGAAGCCGAAGCCATGGAAAGTTTCTGCATGGAGAGCGCTGTCAGATGATTGAAGGGCATAAGAAAGTTCATTACGCGCTCCATGGAAGCGACAGCCACAAAGAATGCGAGGTAAAGTGTGACAGACCTTATATATGAAGATCAAAGTTTATGAAGAGAGTTGCGAGTTGATTAGTGAAAGTTTGCTTAAATGACGATAATGGAAACAAAGTGAGAGCTGATTTAGTGAAAGGGACACTAGAGACAAAGAGTTCAGGATAGTATATTAGCATTTATATGCACAGATATAAAGTGCTCGGTAATACAGCTACACGCGTTAGCTTCTACCTTCTAGTCACCTTAGGCGAACGCATTCAGATTTTTCTTGTTTCTATTTTTTGACCAAGTTGCACTGGACCTTTTCTATATGACATCTTTTGAAAGAGTAGTGGTATGTTAACAATGGGGTAAATGCTGCTGTGGCAAACTCTCATCTCAAGCACTTCATCAGTTGATTGATAGATACTTGTGGTTTAACCCGCCATATGACTATAAGAGGCGCCGTTGTGGACAGCTCAAAAAATTTTGACCACCTGGAGTTCTTTAACGTGCACCCAACTCTGAGCGCACGGGCTTACAGCATTTTCGCCTTCATCCAAAATGCAGCCGCCGCAGCCAGAATTTAATCTCGCGACCTGAGGGTCAGCAGCCGAGTACTTTAGCCACTAGACCACCATGGTGGGGTGAGAACTGCATCAGGGGACGAATAGTTACAGCGACCAACTATAGCCTAGCAGGTACTGGGTTTGATTTGCAGGGTCGCAGAGCACCGACCATTTTTTAAACGAGTTGCCCAGCCTAAGAATATGCGTTGTGGTGGGTACTCTATTTTTGAGAAGGTAACTCTTGCGCTCCCTTCTTTCTTGCGCCATTTTGATCCAAAATCGCTGTGCCGTGCTCCCTCACGAATTACATGAGGAAGAGTTCATATTTGCTCCCTCCAACCTATCGCAAGAGTGTCCCAGTCCCCAAACACCATTAACATACCTTCTATAGTACTTTTCACGCGTCTGGATATTCCACCGGCGGTCAGCCTTCACGATGTTTTGAAGGAAATCCAGACATGCAGTCAGCAAATTGCTTGTGGACAAATTGACTTCCTTTGTCGGAACACGTTTTCGTGCTTGTTTGCTGGAATTCATTACACGCAGCAAGGCAAAAGGGCATGTACAGGTAGAGAAGACTCGCACTGAGTGATGAGCTTCTCTCTTCTCCCTTGGTGCCTGTCATGTTGCGCGCGTCCAAGTAATGCCGCTATCAATATCGCAAAAGCCTAAAGGATTTCGCAAAGACCTCTCTTGCGAAACACTATTAGCACAATTTGTTTATGACCTTTAGACTAGTCGTGACTGCAACGTCGAAATCGACTTAATCTTTCTTGATTTCGCAAAAGCTGTTGACGAGGTTCCGCAACGGCGTTTGTTACTAAAAATTTCAAAGCTTAACTTACATCCTAACAACCTCAAGTGGCTTGAAGAGTTTTTTTTAACTAACTGCTGTCAACCCACTAGTGTTAGTGGCCAACTGTCTATGGAACCCTCCCAGTAACCTCAGGAGTCCCATAATGGTCTGCTCTCGGTTCTGTTTTATTTAGAATATATATTAAGATTTACCATTGCATGCTTTCTGTAAGACTTCCATGTTCGCTGACGGTTGTGTCATTTACCATACTATTACTAAGCGTCCTGACCATTACATTCTTCATAGTTAACTTAACAATAGGCTGAATTGGATTAACGTTTGACTAATGAGCCTCAGCCCTACTAAATGTGAGCTCGTGTCCTTCTATCGTCATCACGACCCCTCTCGCGTTCCCTACTGCGTATCCAATTGATCGATTGAATCACTAGACTCTTATAAATATCTAGGAGTCACCCTTTCTTCTGATTTATCATGGCGCAACCATATTACCAGCACAACTTCAACGTCGTACATAATGCTTGGTTTTCTAAAACGGCACCTGCAACTCACCCCACCAGACGTTGAATTACTCACATAAAATCACTTATAAGGCAAAAGCTAGAATATGCATGTGCCATCTGGAGCCCGCACCAAGCATACCTAATGACGGCATCGGAAGCCGTTCAAAACAGGGCCATTCGATTCATTCATTCTTCATATTCTTATCACACTAGCATTGCATCCTTAAAATCTGAATCCAGTCTAACACTTCTTTCTTACTGCCGTCGAAAGGCAAGTCTTACCATTTATCATAAGTTGTTCTAATCGTCTCTTAAACAGGCGCCTTCTATAACAGCCTTCCCATTGCACCAGTCATCCACTCTGAGTTACCCACCCGCCATCACGTACCACTGCGTTTTCCACTTCATTATTTCTTAGAGTAGCTTCAGACTGGAACGGCCTGCCCTATGACATCGTCGAAATTGCCCCATTATCTACTTTTCAAGAACGCATCACTGATCATCTGCAATGTTAATTGAATCATCGCTGTTAAAATTTACTTTCAATTCCACTCTCATGGAATACCCCCTATTAGGGACCCCTAAGGAAATAAAACTGAACTGAATCGTTATAAACAAGTGCAGCAGGCTATTGATGTTGTGGGAGAGGGTTTCCGATTGTTTTAAGTGAAACAACAGTATAATGGCAAATTTATTTGCGTCATAGAGAGGTACTCTGCTCTTGGTTACTGCACAAAGTTTTTAAACGAAAGCTCATTTATTATCAACAATAGTTCCAGCACAGATGACGAGTGCACGGACAAAAGTTCGTCTATTCAGCTTGATTAGGTTTGAGCTTTCATTACTAAATGTCAAAAGGTAATATATATGCAGAATTATAACCCACATATGTACATGTACAGCCACAGGTGATAGCTTAGTTATTCTGACTGAAATTTATTTGTTAAAATTGACCAATAATAAATGAATGTAGTGTGTAGAAGCAATGCTATGTAGAGAAGCTGTGCTCTAAACTAATCTTTGCTGGTTGGTTCTCTGCTTCCCGAATTGTATGTAGCTCACGACTTTATGTCGGCAATCGATACAGCTTCTTTGAATGCCCTCATTTTGTGGAAAGTTACATTTGCTTTGCAGCAGTAGAAAATAAATGGAAAAATATAATGGCACAGAAAAAGCATAACTACAAGGAAAATAAGTGAGCTCGTTAAAATAGGTACTCTAAACAATACAAACTGCTTTTGATTTAAATGTAACATACATACATACATACATACATACATACATACATACATACATACATACATACATACATACATACATACATACATACATACATACATACATACAATTAGGTGTCCATAATAGGATAAACTAGCATAAAACAGCAGTGCTGATACGCTGTTTTGAAAATATGAGCTTTAAAGCGAGAAAATTACGAGAGAGATCCCTCAACTCTGTTATACGCGAACTGGACATTTTTCACATAGTTTTTCAACAGTTCGATGTGTAATTTCTGCTGCTGCCCTAACTAGCCACTTTTATATAATATATATGAAAAAAGAGCTTCTGGCATTGTCGTGCTACAAAAAGGGGCAGTGTATCACAATTTGGTACATATCTGCAAGGTCACTCGAGGTAACACAGAAGCAACAAGCTATCTTAGGTGGCGTGAGCTGAAAACTTGCCACAGCGCAAAGAAATTCCAGACCGATAACAAAAATAAAAGAACTCTAAGCTACTAATCGTTGCAAAAATGCTTCTATTGACATTTCTAAACCCCCATTCATTTCCCATAAACACTCCTCAAAAAGACTTCGAAGTTTGCATATCAGCACAGTTATCATAGAGTTGTCTGTCAGTTCACTGGAAAAAAATTCAGTTCACTCCTCGGCAAGGACTGTATGTTGTGTAGATGAGGTAATGCTGCATTGTCCTACACGTATGAATTATTGCTAATCTCAACTGCAATGTTTATGAGCACATATTTGTAAAATCACAGATTATATTATGCCACTACAAAGTAATCATGTTCCAACGCCTCAAACATAGACCTCAATGGATGAACATAAGAACATTCACCTTTGCGCAGTTTAAAAGATGTTGATACATTTCCACGTTGTTTTCACGGCTCGACTGAATATACTAATACTTTTACTATGCTCATTGTTGCTTTTACTTTCAACTTTGTTCCAACTCGCCAATTCATTATAACAGCACACCAGCACCTCTTGGAAGGCTAAACCATGACACAGAGGCATAAGGAAGGAATGAAATTGGAGGAAAGAATGGCAGGGAGGTTAACCAGCCTATAGGCAGCCGGTTTGCTACCCTGCGCATGGGAGGGGGATGGCGGAGATTAAAGATGGAGAGCAGAGAGGAAGAGAGATAAACACAGCACATTCGGCAGCACACACGCGCACACTGAGTCATAGTCCAGTCTTCTCTTTCGCGGTGCGTGACATTGCTGTTACAGCCGCTTGTTCGAGACCGTGTCGCGTAGGAATTTCAAAAAAGAGCTTTTGTCGCCTTCTGTTGCAATGTCTTCTCTCGGGCACTTGACAGAATAGTGTCCACAGACATTTGGCTGTTCTCGATGCGCGCAAAAACAGACGCCAGTGGCTGTCTCTGGATGTCATACAATGGACAGTCGCACAGGATGTGGTGTAGCGTCTCTTCGCAATGACAGGCATCGCAGAGAGCGTTGTCGGCCATTCCTATGACAAAGGAATAAGATTTTGTAAATGCCACTCCTAGCCATAAGCAATGAAGAAGGGTGGTTTCTCTTCGGTTGAGCCCAAGGGGCATGCGGAGAGCCATCAAAGAGGACAGGTGGTGTTGACGCTTTGTCTCGTTGCTTGCTGGGCACCATAGTGAAAACGTGATTTCACGCGCAAGTCGTCAAAGAT